TGATAGTCCATATAATTATAGCTCTCAATAAAAAATTTTGCTTACAATATACATCTTAGGTCACCACACCCACCTCCCATAACTCGGATAAGCTCGGATATGAAATGCTACAAGTAAACGTCCAACTTATGTTTTGGATTTATTAGACCAAGAACAATCACTATTAGGAGTATATATTCCTTCTTCATACACATGCATGGTGGTAAATTGTATAGAGTCACAATGATCAAACACGAGGAATATTATACATTAGATTGACCAAATGGTTGAAAGCCATTAGTGCATACTCCTAATTAGACATTTCTTATTTCAGATTGTAAAAGGAAGATTAATCCGATTAAAACTTTTCCATGCAATAGAATCGAAGGATGATGCATTACTCCTACATTATCTCCCCTATGTTCAGCATGCCACATTATGTGTTCGGTTGTCACATTCGATGTATACAATCGTTGTAGATGCGAGGTTAGAGAAAAGTAGTACATTTTTTATTTGGAATAACTTTTTCTCTTTCTAATCCTCGATGAGAACTTTGATATTGAGGATGTTGACAAAATCTGCATTTATCTAATTCATTGTTTTCCTTTCAATAAATCATGCATCCATTCTAACAACAATGAATTTTTTCTATTGATAAACTCATCCCTTTGACCAGACTTCTTTGTTTCATAAAAGTTATCTATCATACGGTTATCAACCGATATCAACTCCTTCATCGACTCATGTAACCGATCGAAATACCTTATTGAAAAATGGTAGTTGACTTTCGGGTTAAGCATTCACAACTACCGATAATTACAAATGTTCATCATAACTAGGCCAAAATCTCTCTACGAGATGCATTCAATATATCATAAAAGTGTTGGGTGCTAAGAGTAAGAACCTCTTTCGTGTTGGACGAATCAAAGGATGGACCAACTATATCCATTATCATACTTTAATATGAGTTTTAGGGTTCACTAGAACTACCTTTGCCTACATAATAATTTTCGAAATATGTTGACTCCTAGAATTTTCGGATGTCATATAGGTTTCAAATTCACCATGATGCACCCAATCATAATATCCCGACACAAAAACTTTATAGCACAAATGATATTTGACCGTGTCAATCTCTTCATAATTTCGGCTTTGACATTTACTAAAATTATAAGGACAACTAATTTTGGTTCCGTCCATACATTCAGGTATGCTCAACAACAAAAGCTAAAAATCATTCTACACCTCGACAAAGTCATCATTTAACAATCCGTTAACTAATTTAAAATTCATCCATTCTCGATCGGGTCTCATTTTTGTAATTACTACAAAAATAACATAACCATTGCAAACAATTACTTGTCGTCATTCCGAATAATTTTAAATAAATATTAAGCACATATATTAGCTGTATAATTGTCTCTAATTAGTGATGAATTTTGTTTAAGAATTTGACTTCCTATTTAAATAATTGTTTAAAGGATGATTACATTTTTTTAATAAATACTTAATTTGTTAGTATTCAATTATTTTTGGTGCAATGTTTTTATATTTTCTACCTTAGGTCCAATATATAATAACATAAACCTAACCTAAACCAAACATTTAACCTAATTTAAACTACCTTAAGTATTTTAAGGTAATTACATTATCACTTTCACTTAAAATACATAAAATTTTATATTTTTTTTAACCAAAAAATGTTAAATTACATTATCATCTAATTAATTTATGAAAACATTCAACTAAATTTATTTTAATTAAACCCTAACTAAAATATTTATTTAATTTTATTAATTAATAAAATATTTATAAAATTTTAAGGTTTATTTTAATTTTTAATTATATTTTTATTCAATTTTTTTCGAAACGATCAAATCATTATGCATGTTATCTTATTTCAATTTTAATAATTAAACTAATAAAATTACTTATAAAATTTATATTTGAAATGACTAATCTACGTCAAAAATTATATAATTTCAACCAAATTTAATTAAACTACATCAAAAATTAGATAATTTCAAAATTAAGTTTAAACAAACAACTAACTAAATTAATCTAACACTAAAAAATAATAAATATATAATTAATTTGCTTAATTAAAATAACAATTTAAGATTAAATAATTAAATTTTAATCCAACAACTCAAAATTAATAAAACTTCAATTTTTAAGGTTTACGTTAACATACAAATTAACCTAACAATTAACATAACAACAAAATAAAACTTAACAAAATTAATCTAACAATTATAAAAATAAAATAACAACTAACAAATTTAAACTACTACATACAAATTAGCATAACAAGATAAAATACAACATTCAAATAATTAATAAACTAACAAATAAAAAAATTTAACTAAAAATTTATAACATTTATCCGATTTAAAAAATATATATAAGAGTTAGAGAGAGAAAGTTTTACCCGATAGATCAAGGATAGAGAACACGGATCCGATCCGATTTTAAAGGAGAAAGATATCTCTCACTTTGTTGAACAATTTTGAAAAACATTTAGTGGCGTGGGGTCGCGTGGGTGGGCGGCAGCGGAAGGAGAGGTGTGGTGGAGGTGAGGGAAACAAATGGAGAAGAAGAAGGGGGATATATAAAGGCAAAATAGCGACGGATCCGATTTCTTCGCTAATCCATCACTAATTTGGGGGAAAATTTCCTCCTAAAATAGCGACGGATGTCATGTCCGTCCCTAACTATATGCCATTTTAGGGGGAAATTTCCCTCAAAATGGCACAAAATTAACGACGAACTTGAGGTCCGTTGCTAATTTTGCAAGATTAGCAACGAATTTCAAAATCCATCGCTAACTTCACTAAATTACGAGAATTTTAGCGATGGAAAAAATTTCGTCGCTAATTCTTTCATTTAACGACCACAAGGCCGTCACTAATCCATCGTTGATTTTGATGCTTTTTTTATGTTTTATTTAGCTATGAATTTTTAACAATCACTAAGTATCCCTCGTTAGTCCGTCGTAAAACACAACCTTTTATAATCCGTCGCTAATTTGTCGTTAAATAGCGATGAATTTTAATCCATCGTTAAATGTCATCGCTAATTGGTATTTGTTTGGTAGTGTCATCTTCATTCATATGTGCCATTGGTATTACGTTATGATAATGTGATTGATGTGGCTCCATATGATAATGTATTTTGTGCTTGAAGAGTTAGGGTATATATATATATATATATATAAAGAAAAAAAAAAAAAAGAAGAAAGGCACAAAACCAAATAGTTCTTACAAAATTTGCCATTCCCCTGATGGATTTAACCCCTCTTAAGGTTTAAAGAGGTAAAAGAAGAATAAGTGTCTGCAACCGTGTGAAAGTGGGCCCTTGTTTGACCATCTCCTTTTTTAGACTCCTCCATAAAAATTGGAAACTTTCTACGTTCATCCCATGTTCCTAATTCCCTATGTGCTTTGTGATAGTGCTACACAGCATTTCATGCTTCTGCCAAGAAAACTTTGTTGGGAAACAACAAAAACCTCTTCTTGAAACATGAAGAGGGGGAAAAAAAAACCAAAAAACAAAAAAAAAAAAAAGAGAGAGACAAAAAAAGAAAAAAAAAGTCTTCTTGTGCAATTGTGTATAAAATACAAATGAAAGGCAACATTAGTTGTTCACACGTTTTCAAAATCACATGTTCAGGTATGAAGGAAAACAGCATTGCAAAGATTAGAATTCTTAAATAGTCCCATATATAAAACTGACATGAAATGATTGTCTGCTTGATGAATCGTGTAAGTTACCACCGAATAATTAGGCTTTGTTTTCAAACCATAACTCAATTTTAACAATTAAACTGTTAAGGAAGACTTTCAATTAAAAAATAAAATTGTAATTTCATTTAAGAACAAAAAAAAAGGAAATTAAATGGTATGATTCATTGGTTTAGTTAAAACTTTCCTTCTGCTTTCAATTGAATCATTTTTCCTTTGACTTTTCAAAGACAATCAAATAGTAAAATAGTTTTCATGAAAACAACCAGTTTTTTTTTCTTTTCTTTGAACTAGATCAGTCTTGTCACCACAAATTAAAATTAAATGATTATTTTGAAGATATGGATCGATATTTCAAATCCAATTTCGTAACTAGTGGAAGAGCTAGATCAATTTCTTATATGGTTCATCTTGTGAACAAAATCTCAAGATTTTGAAAAGCTTAGTATAGTTGGTAGGCTTTGTTTTGAAAAGCATGCATAATAAAAAGACTAACTTAATTTTAAGCATCCAGAATAATTTGGAATAATTCATTCTCACAAAAATATTCAATGAAATAAGAATACAGTAGATATATATAGAGAGAGAGAGTTGAATGCATCTTTTTTTCCTTTTTCTTTTTTTCTAATTTAGCTACGTTGTAATGAATGTCGTACCCTTTTTTAAGAAATGATCAAGTGATTATGTAAAACTTTGTATTCTAACCAACTTTGACCATATAAGTGATGCCAACAGATGAACAGTACTAGCTAGGGATCATTTTGCATGTTTTGCAAATGACAAACAATTTTAACACGTGCAAGTTGGATTATTTTAATATGAATTAAACGCGTAATGTACACTCCTTCCTGCTATCTCTCTTATTATAAAGAGACTGAAAACTTTCCTCCTACTTGGCCTACTGGAAAGGAAAAACAACTTCAGGTCTGCATTCTTTATCCTCTCTAAAATTTTCTTTGAGATGTCATGTGCTATATAGACTTTGATATTCAGATTTTTCTCTTCTCTTTAATATTCTAAAAAAATAAAATAAAAATGGGTTCCGCTTCTTATCTCGATCCTTCTTGTTTTGCATCGGTTCGCTAGCTAAAATTAAGAATGTTTTCTTTTCCTTTTCTTTCTTATTCTTGATCTGTTTTGTTGTTCTTCAGTCATATAATTAAGGAAATTCAACACAGTTTCTCTATCAGATATCATGAAATTTATGCTGGCTTCCTTGTTTAATCCTTTCAGGGTTCTTGCTGTCAATCTTTAAGGAAACAACACCAAAATTGCTTAATGGAAATCTCATCGGCTAAATGGTTTTGTGAAATGGTAATTAGTCTATTTAAAATTTAGAATTAATGAAGAAGAGATTTTTGTTATGGAAATTACAATATAGGATAACTAGTTTTCACATATATCCTTTTTTTTTTTTTTTTTTGCTCAGGAAATGGAGGAATATGCAGCTTTTGGCTATGATCAATACCATTTGAACCCTCTAGATTACTCACTTGATGAATTGAATTTCCAGTCTTTGTCTTCGAAGTATTATTCAATGAATAACCACAGTTTCAATCATCAGACCCCACAAAACTTTACCAGTGAATCCTTTACAAGTTCTCAAGTCACCAATGATCAGAGGCCAGCAAAAAAGCCAAAGACTTCTCAACAGGCTTCACCTTCTTCCTCATCTCGCGTTATATCTTTTGATAACTCTCGTTCACCTCCAGCTACTTCTCAGAAGCTCTATGGATCTGATGAAAATAAAAATTACGAAGATGGTGCAACATATTTTGGGCGAGTTGGTAGCGAAAAGATTGCTGCAGTGAGAAGGTCTCCTTTACATGCCATAGAGGAACGAAAGCGCCGTGAAAAGCTCAGCCAAAGATTCATAGCTCTATCAGCTGTTGTTCCTGGCCTAAAGAAGGTCCTGACAAAATTTCTATTCCTGTAGAAGAATCAGGCTTTTATTTGAATATCTTCAATTTAATTATATGCGTAAATATAACATATACGTTATTGCTTCTGCTTCTTTTTTTGCTTTGGATGGTGAGCTGAATTATGGGATATAAGTTTTACTAATTCCAAGCTTCAATATTGTATTAACAAGTTGTGATATTTGTTAGCAATGCTTGATTAATGTTGTCATTGCCTGGTATCAGGAGTCACAACCCACTTGATTATGAAGATGGAAAATATGAAACCACGTATTAGATGTGTAGGATTTGAATTCCTCACCAAAAAAACTTAGAAACCACATCAAACAACTACTCAACTTTAAAAGTTTAAACTTTTCTAGTGAAAGTCTTAAAATTTATTCCATATTAATTTCTCTAGGTCATAGCAACGTAAAAAAATTGTTTTGTTCATGGAATTTTGCTTATCAATATTGTATTTAACCATTAACAGACGGACAAGGCATCTGTTCTTGGAGACGCAGTTAAGTACCTGAAGTATCTTCAAGAACGTGTGAACACACTAGAGGAACAAGCTACCAAGAAAACTATGGAATCGGTTGTTTTCATCAAGAAGTCTCTGGTTTATATAGATGACGATTCATCTTCAGCTGATGAAAATTCTGGTGGCTGCTGCGATAACCCAGTTCTGGAAATCGAAACAAGAGTTTCGGATAAGGATGTTCTCATTAGGATCCTTTGTGAGAAGCAGAAAGGATACCTAGTGAAAATACTGAGCGAAATTGAAAAGTTTAACCTGAATATTATCAACAGCAGGGTGATGCCATTTGGAAATTACACCATTGATGTAACTATTGTTGCTCAGGTATGACATTAATTAATATGGTTCCGTATATGAGTGTTGTGTCTTTATGCATAGATTAAAACAATATATATATATATATATTGTTAAGATCTCATCAAATAATGTAAGCTTTTAGATTAAGGACATAATTCTTTGAAAATACTGTGATATAAAGCTGTTCTTAATCACTAAATAAAAATTTAAGCCACCTTGATTTTTCAATTGTACAGACTTTACATAAAATGATGACATTAATCATAACAAGCAAACGTACCAATCATTATAGGTGTAATATGTTGTGTGTGTGTGTAAATCACTGGAAGTGTGGGACCTTCATTTCTTGCCGAAATTATCTAGTTTATGGAGTCTTTCTTAGTATTAATTTTAATTTTTCTCCCTAAATCAAATATTAATGCATATGCTTTTCTGAATACAAATTAAAATGTTAAAGCTTCTTGATTTTTCAGTAGAGTATAAAGCATACAAGTATAACATGGCGAAAGAAATAATTGATCACAAACTTCAACATAACTTTTTGAAAACAGCATTTCGGTTAGAAAATCTATCGCACATTAAATAAATAACTTATGAAAGGATCAGCTACTATAAAATTTAAGGGTTTTTTTTCCTATAGATGTAATCTCAACTCTTTTAACTCACTATAATATTAAAGACTTGAACCTGAAAGATAAACTGCATGTAAATAATATATAATATTAAAAAATATCCAAGCCACTTGCTAGAAGGGGGTGCAGATGAATGTTAAAGTTAAGGCTGACAACTTAATTAAACTTTCAAGAAACCTTATAATTTTATTCTAATATAAACTCATTTCTTGAGAAACCTTTTGATTTCTTGCAGATGGACATTGATTTCTCAATGACAGCGAAGGATCTTGTAAGAAATTTACGGCAGGCTCTCGTATAGCTAGGTCTCATGAGAAACCTTTCGATTTCTTGCAGGATTTCTCAATGACAGTGAAGGATCTTTGTAAGAAATTTACGACAGGCTCTCCTATAGAGTTGATCGATCTCATGTGCCATGCTAGTATTTTTTATTCTTTATTTTTCACATCCTGGGAGAACGAATGGCCTTGGCTCCCACCTTGATTTACTCCGAATTGCCGTTGCAATGACCATGTAGTTTTTTATGGGATCGAGGTTTCATTTTTCTGTGGGGTTTGTTTTTGTTTTTTTCGTGGTTGACCACGTTTAATTGCCCACGTGCTGAAAATGGAACCTGCAAGATATCCCTTTTGTTTTTCAAGAGATTAAAAAAAAAAAAAAAAAACCACCTTTTCAAAGGAGGCTTTTTTCTTTCCTCTTCCTTCTTCAATGTAGATCATACAGGACAAAACTGCCTCTTTCTTTCAGGTAGTTTGGTGTGTTTGATTAAGGCACTCTAGATAATGGGGAATAATGTCAATGTTTGTTAGCTAGGCTCCAGGTTTTGAATAAAATACCCATCCAAATTAAATAGTTTAATAGAAATTATGACGGACCTCTATGTATTCAATTGTATGAGTATCTTTGATTCAATGTATAATGTTAGCTAGACTCTGGATTTTCCTTCGGAAGCACTAGCTAGCCGCCAACTTGCATTCTCTTCTTTTCGTTTTTGTTTTGTTTGAGAGTAGGGAGGAAGGTAGAAAGTTCATGCAACAAATAACAACATTATCGGATTGGATAATGTAACCTATTTAGCTAGAAATAACAATTGTGATTCGTAACAAATCAGCCATAGTATTTTATTTATTTAAATTAAATTAATTAAGTAACAAATTAATTAGCTAGAACAATTCAATTCAGTGACGTGAATTTTTTATGTCATTGTCTTGAAAGATAACATCGTTATTTAAAGGCTAATTAATTATAAAGTAACTTGAATTATTGATAAAAAATAAATCATAATATTTTTTTCTGATTTAGTTATAGTGGTTCAAAAGCCAAAACTTTTAAATATTTTAAAATAGTTATGAAATAACTAATAATATTTATTTTATAGGTCAATTTTGAAAAGAGAGATAAATGGAAAGACGATAAAAAAATACATCCAAACTCATTAAAAAGAAAAACTATTTTTACATAAACTCGGTTTTGCAAATTACATATTCTATTTTTCTCTTCTTTTTTTTTTTTTTTAATCTCATCTCTTCTTTATGAAGTAAGTATTATTAATTACTTCTACAATAATGTATATTTGTCATTAAATAGTATATTTTTCATTGAACATTGTTATTTTGTTGAAATCTAAATTCTAGACTACCTATTAAAATTTACTTCCTATTTATACTTTATCATCATCATCATCATCATCATCATCATCATTATTATTATTATTATTATTATTTGGGGGATGGGGGTGTTAGGGAGGCTTTTGTTTTCCCCATTAATTCCCCTCTCTTTGGCTCAAATTTATATTGATGTAAAATATGTCTTATTCTTGAATATTTTCCAATTTGTTGTGTGACAATATTGCAACATATTCTGATCAATATTGTTGCTAAACAATGTTTGTGGGACACTTGAAAATTTTATAATTTATTTATTGAAAATTTTATTTGTTTAGATCTATGAGTTATTAATTTTTAAGTCGCCACTTAGCATTAAAGATAATTAGAAACCTAAAATGAACACTATTTCAAAGATTTTAAAATAAGGAGTTGGTTATGTCGTCAAAAAGATATCAATCATCCAAAAACATCTTTTTCGAAGAAATGTACCATATCTAGTTTAGCCATAAAATTTATCTCCTAAAATTTTCTATTTTTGTGAAAAATTTTCCTAAATAAAAATTCCAAGTTTTTTTTCCTAAACAAAATAAATTTCTTAATTTTTGTCTATGGCATCATAATGAATCGATGGTTAGACTACTCTATCGAGAGTATTATCGGTTCAACATTGAATCCGAGTTTAAGTCTCGACATAACTAGTAAGTTAGATAATAATTTAATTACTAAGATAAGATCGATATGGGTTAATATCAAACCCTATTAGATATGAGGCTTTGTTAATTTTACCCTTAGTATTTTCTATATTTTGGCTTTTTTTTTAAATATTGCATTTTCTTTTTTTCCTTTTTTTCCCCTCTTCTTTCCTCCTTTTTTTTTATCATTTCTATTTTTTATTTTATCTAATCATTTTTTATTTTTTAAAATTTTTAAATTTTTTGTTGTTGTTGGTGGAGAATCGTCATTAGTCCTTAAAAATTAAGAGGCTTGACAATTCATCCACCTATTAATTATCTAATCTAGTTATTAAAATAAAACCTAAAATTAAATTAAATCGAAACCGAGTCATGAAATAAAAGAGATGCATTAAAAAAATTCTAGGCTGATTTTTTAGAAAATGGCTAAAAGTAGGAAAAGATTTTTAAAAAAATGTTATTAGGCCCGATTGGCCTTCAACCCATCGGGCTAGGACCACTAAGTTGGACTATAGGCCATCCTTTTTTTTTTTTTCTTAGGCCCCGGGATGTGCTGAAATTAGCCCAAGTCTTGGTGTTACAGTGCTAGGTTTAGCCCATCCCTCTCCTCTATTCCATTTAGCTCGATCCGAACCATTTCATTCTAACAACTTTTTAAATCATTCCCAAAGTAAAGTCGATCAACAACCCTAAATTATTCATCTCCCTACTTTTCTTTCTCCTCTATCTTTCTCTTCCCTTTTTTCTATCTTTCTCCTCCTACAACTTTAATCATTTGGCTACCTTCATCTTTCTCCTTAACCTTCCCCTCAATTAGATTGCTCAATATTCTCCACTCTCCTATAAACCCAAAAACTTACCCACCAACTTTTTGTTAAAATCAAATCCCTAAATCCTTTTGTTTTTGTTTTTTTTTCTCTACCTCTCTCTTGTCTTAATTTCTCTAATTCTCACTAAGATCGAATGATCTCATCATTTGAAAACATTTTCGAAAGAAAATAACTAGATCCCTCACCTTCTTACTCTAAATACTAAAAACCCTAAACTAACTCATCTTCTCCCTTTTGCTTAGTTGATCTCTTGCAAAAATTGAACTCTTAATCTGTTTCATCTCCTAGATCTTTCACCTAGACCACCTAAAATCTAGATTAATTTTCATCTTCGTCTTACGGATCCCGAACCCTAAATCTATTTCTTATTTCTATCCAATTATGATCTTCATAACCCTTGTCTTGATTCAACTAGAAATCCGAAACCTAAACCTATAATTGACAATTAACCCTAGAATCTAACCCTCATGAGTCATCCAAACCCTCCTTACTCACCAAACCTAATGTGATGACTTGTGAAATTGAAAAGGGTTGGGGTTTTGTGGGATAGCACCGATGAATATCACTTGCCATCTTTCATTTTGAAACTACTAATGGTTACATGGATGAAATAGTAACTACAAATTGAAAGGAAAGTCTTACTCGGGTGTCTCGCTAAGGGAGCTTGGGTGAGGAAAAAAGTAGCAGATAAGCAATTGTTGTTCAAGTTCGGTGGAACGAGTGTCTTTTTGAAGCCCGGGAACTATAGAAGCTAGCTTAATGATGCTAGTTCCGGGTCCCCTTCCTCCAACAATTGGGTAAGAATTCTAAACTTTTAACTCTCTTGTAATTCCCCTCAATTGTTTCTTTGCAATTGTTCCCTCTTTCCTAAAAAATGGTTCCCTTTTCTATTTTCTCAATTTTTTCTCGCTATTTTCCCATAATTCTCCTCTATTTTTTTCTCTACCTCCTAAAAAATCCTAATTGGACCTCTATTTATACCGAAAGATCCTCGTCACATTGATGATCAATTCCAACCTCCCTCACAATCCAACAAAGTTGCCTACTATCCGTTTCAGCTCTACATGAACGGAGCCAAAACCTACGTTTAATGTTATGAAGTGAATGTTTTGTGTGTACTCTAGGTGCGATTGCAACAAGATAGAGGGGAGGTACACCTGCAATTCCTTAATAAAATTACGAGTACAAAGAGGAGCCGACATGTAATACCTCGAACTCATTATTAAATTAATTAATTAAAATATATTAAAGGTATATGAAAACTATTCCATGGGTATAAGATACTTTCCAAAAGGTTGTTAAAATATTTGGTGCATATAGAATAATTTTCTTATGCATGGTGAATATTTTATTGGTTTTTCAATGCATGAATGGTACCCTATTATGTTAAATAATTATTTCAAGCATGTTAATTGTGCATAAAAATTATTATTATTATTTGCATAGAATATTTGCTAAAGGGGTGCTAGAATATTTAGTACATTTGGATGAATTTTTCTATGTTCGGCGAATATTTTATTTGGACTCTTTGGTGCATGAATAGTTCCTTTTATGTAAATTAATTATTTTGAGTGTCTTAAATATGCATGAAAATTATCCAATGGGCATAGAAAAATTTCTAGGGAGGTGTAGGAATATTCCATGAACTTAGGTGAATTTTTTTGTGCTTAGGGAATATTTACGTAGAAATAAATGCATTTTTACATAAAATAATTAATTTGAGGGCCTAAATATGTATATAAAAACTATGTGAATGATGAATAAATTATTATAAGAACTGTTTGAATTTATTATGAAAAAAAATTAATTTTTGGAAAGGTGTAGAATAAATTATACATGGATAGGGACCTAATTGCATAAAATTAAAATTTTAAACTTTCAAATTAAATTAAGAATGAACTTGAGGAAGTAAAAAGTTGTTAGAATAGGCCTTAAGGAAGGACCTAAAGTGATCAATTAAATAATTGAAGGACTTATGGAAGAGTAAAAGTAGGAAAATTCCATAAATTAAGGGACTAAAATTAAACATTTTTGGAAGAGATTAATATAGCTCTAAATATCATGTTTAGTGTACATGAAATAGTATTTAGTGTACACCAAATAGCAGATAGAGGTGTTACTCGTGATATTCTACCTACTTCTATATATCATGTTTTGTCAAGCACTCGAAACGCAACTTGAATCAAACGTACTATTGCTTTCTCTCCAGAATGCAACAATAAGCCTCAAGAAAATTAATATAACTCTAAACCAGAAATTGGTTTGGAGTAGCTAGAAATCCTGCCATTTCATAGAAATATATATTAGGAATGAAGGTGAGGCCTCCCTCGAGGGATTTATTAGAATCTGTTAAGGCAAATTAAAACTACTTGCGCATCACAAATAGTGTTATTTTTACAAGCAGCATATCAGGAAAAGGGACGGTTACTCGTGACGTTAGTAATTGATACTGTTCCTTGGAAAGTAATTATCAATTGTTGTGGGTTGCCTAGCCAGTGTTTACTCTCTGACCTTAATTTGGGATTTAAAAATTTCAAATTAAATAATCAAAAATAAAAATCTTATTTATTTATTTTGATATAGATCAATAAATAATATATTTTTGATTTAATCAAAGAAATGGATTCAATCAGCGAAATTTGATTGAGAATATCTTAAAATTAAGATTGTTCCTGTAAAAACATTCTCATAAATCTTTTTAATTAATATTGTTGTTAGATTAATGTCCCCTTCAAAAGACTAGCCTAATTACTTAATAATTGGAATATTAACAGTGTAGAGTCGAAGAAAATGCTGTTTTATTGAACTTTATACTTTTAATTAATTATCACATTCAGATTCAAATTGTAATATTATGTCTTAGTTAGTTTGATTATTGGCAAATCAAAACACCCATTTAACGAGAAGTACTGATCATTGATTATTATTTTAAAGATAAAGTGATTTATTCCGACGAAAATTAATAAACCACACACCAACTTGATAGCGCCGCGACCGAGCACAAGAAAAGGACAAGAAATAATTTCTTAAAATAGTGTTGTTGTGATTCAAAATTCTTTCAGACTTTTAAATTAATAAAACTTTTCTAAAGTAAATCATTATGCATAATCATCATTTACTTCTATTTTTTGTGAAAGATGTATAGTCAATCTCCAAAACGTAAGAAAATGGTAAATTATTAACAAGTTGTCCATACTAAGTTCAACTATGCAACCACTTTTATCATGTCATTACGCTATTCCTCTCCCTGACTCCAAGAAAGAATTGTAGGTTTCAAGTGTGATATTGAAGAAGGAAAAATAAATAAATAAGAAAACATTGACACAGGAGCCCCATTGAAGATTATTTGATATATTAGAGGCCCAATTGATATAGATATTATTTATTTATTATTATTATTATTATTATTATTTTATTTTTATTTTTTGTGAAACTAAAAATTGGTCAATAAGTTAGAAGCAAAATTGAATTTTCCCTTACAACTAATTGGATTTCTAATTAATTAGGGAAAAACTAACACCAATTGTATGTTTCTTATTGCCAATTTCATTGTGTTTTTTCCCCCTCTTGCAATGCCATTTATAAAGGTCTGATTAAGATCATAATAAGTAAAATTAATTGGTCAAATTAATTGAACTTTTATTTCTTTTCACCCTTTTATATTGACAAGAGGCTCTTTTATTTATTGCTCAAATTAATTGGTCGGGGTCCACTCATGACAAACTGGAGCACCTCTCCGATGGAACGTTCGTTGTTTTCGCTACCGTAAGATAATAATAATAATAATAATTAAAAAAAATCAAATCGAATCTTCCCAATTTTGTTCTTTTATTTATTGCTCAAACTGCAAACATCAATTTTCATAAGATATGTACGGATATCTTTTTTATTGAAATCATACTCATCTCATGTAGAAATAGTCTGAAACAAAATCAATTTAATATTGTATTTGAAGTTTGGAATTGAAATCGAACATATTTTATGAAAATTTCTAACCAAACTAATCTAAACTACTTGAAAATTAACCGATTCGATATCCAGCTAGCTCTTATAAAAGCTAGAATTACTTTATAGTTTTTAACCTCGTGCCAAAAGTAATCCTATCGATACTTAATTTTTTATTTATATAATTTTTTTTTCTATAAATTAGAAAATCTAATCTCGAGATAAAAGGATGCCTAGCTAGCTAGCTCATTTCATTTTGAATAGAAAATGAAATCACAAAGTATTTGTTTTTCAAAAAGAAATTCCCATTAACTGTCCATTATTCAGCTCCTCCTATTTTTTTATATTGCATGCTGTACAATACATCTTGTTTCATGAATTAAGCAATTTTGGGTGTCGTAATATACTGCAAGTAATTATTAAATTTATACATCTTTAATAGTTTTGATTAAAAACAATCTAGGATTATTTAATATTTGGTTGTCTTCAAAGATATTAAAAAAAATATTGTATCCATCTTGTAATTCAATTTTAATTACGATTCAGATAAATAAGAAAGAAAGAAACTTAGTATTTATTTATTTATTTATTATTATTATTATTATTTGAGAGCGGGAAAGTCTTATTCACGTTGAAATTGAATCCAGGTTAGTAAGCATTCCGTTTTCTTAAACAGGTAATTTTGTAAGCACTAATAAGCTTTAAGAGCCAAAAATCACCCAAAAAAACAAAAAACTAAAAACTAAAGCTTCAAGAGTCTGTGTGGTGAGCATTACGTTAGACTGATGATATGATCAATTAATAACAATAGACAGAAGAATGGCTTGTTACGTGTGAAAGTTGACCCACGTACGTTTGGCATTTGAATAATGATCCGATGTGATTACCATCCCTTCTAATTCCTACTTACGAACAAAACTAGCCTCGCCCAAAATTGCAACTTTTGCACGTGGAAAAAAAAATGATTTTGCTTTTTGTAATTTTTTATTTTCTAAAAAGAAATCAATATATAAGTGAGAAAACGTACGTAAGAAAAAAAAATATGCGTTATTTTTTTTTCTTACAACTACTTTGGTAAACTCTCAATGAAAACAACAGTTCAAAAAATTAATTAATTGAAATTAACCAACCAATCTAATTAGAAAATTGATAGAAATTTTTGGATTCATACTTCATATGTGTATATAAAAAAATTTTAGTTGATTATTTGTCGTATATCCTATAAAAAAAAAAAAAAATCCCTATCTCACAGTAGTTGAAACCACTTAGTTTTTGTTTGGTACTAAAAGTGAGGTTTTTGTTTTATTTTATTTTTTATAGCTTTTTTTCGTAAGTCATAACCAAATTTGTTTAATAATAAGAATTTTTAGCTATAGGGTTCCTTAAAGGTGTCATATAAAAATAAAATAATAATAAATCCAAAAGCTAGATTTTCTTTTCTTGGGGAAACTCTACTTTTTTTTAACCATCTTAACAACTATACCTAGGGGTAAATTAAACCAAAATTTCAACCGTAATCTTATATAATTTATAGAGATTTATTAAATAGTAATATAAAAATACGGTCAAGTCTCAAAGAAAAAAAAAAAAAAAAAAAAATATATATATATATATATATATATATATATATATATATATATATATATATATATTTCGGACAAAGTTAGAGACAATAGTTGAGATATATAGGGATCAATGTTTCAAACAAATAATGCAAACATGGTATTCCAATCAGCTATGACCTTGCAAAATAAAATAAATAAATAAAAAATAAGACAAGACATGGACGGCATGCACCCCTTACACACAAAGATCAAAACGTTGAGATGGAGAGAGGGTGAGTCAACAGAGGAACAAATTCTACAAAGGACAAACCATTTTCACACGTGGGAGTAGGATTGTTATGACTTGCGAAAATGAAACGCGTACGGTCCGCTCCTGCTCCTTGCTATAAAGAGATTGGAAATTTCTTCCATTTGGTCTACTGGAAAGGGAAAAGCTAGTAGCTCTTCAGGTCAGTCTTCCTCTCTCAAGTTTGCAATTCCAGTTTTCTTGGATGCATACTATGTGGTTTTATTCTTTGATGTTTACTTCAATGTGCGAAACACTTTGGAAGAAATTAACAGCTTATTGTCCCTTCATTTTTACCGTTGTTTCATAGGTCTGAAGATTCAGCTTCTTCTTTTTTCTTTTTTTTCCTTCCATTTTATTCTTCAAAAAGGAAAAAGAAAAAAAAATGGTTCTGCTTCTTTTCTCCTCCATGTTTTCTATCAGTACTTTCTGTTCAATATATATATATTTATATTTTTTTTTTTTGTAAAATTTCTTCAGTTTTAAGCAAAGGATCTTACTATGTACATTTTTGTGTCAAAGATCTTGACATTATGGTTGTTTTCCTTGTTTATTTCTTTCAGGATTCTTTCAACTTTGCTTAATGGAAACCTTATTGGACAAATGGTTATCTGAAGTGGTAAGTCTATCTGGAAGTTGTACAGGGTTTTATAATGCGTAGACTCCCCTCCTTTTTTTCCCCTTCTAGTAGAACAATAGATAATTTAATGAAAGACATATATTGTTATGGAAATTTCAATATAGGATGGTTGTTTCTTCACAGGAAATGGAGGATTCAGCTTTTGAATATCAATACCATACGAACCCTCTTGATTATTCAATGAATGATAACCAAACTTTCTATCATCAAACTCCACAAAACTTGAGCAGTGCATCCTCTGGAACTTGTCAAGTCAGCTTTGAGAGCCCAGTTAAGCGGCCAAAGATTTCTGAACCAGTCTCTACTTCTTCCTCATCTCATATTTTATGTTTTGATAACTCTAATTCACCTCCAGTCACTTTCTATGACCTGGACTCAACAGCAGTTCCTAAGAATGAAATAGGATGTGATAGCAATGTCAATTACGAATATGGTGCAACGTATTTTGTACAAGGTAGCAAAAAGATTGCTCCAATGAGTAGGTCTCCTTCTCATGCAATAGGGGAAAGGAAGCGCCGGGAAAAGCTCAGCCAGAGATTCATAGCTCTTTCAGCTGTTATTCCTAACCTAAAGAAGGTACTAAAAAAGTTTTTTTGCCTGTGGAAGGAATCGATATAAATTTCTCTAGGATGTAGAGTTTAATTGGACAGCTTTTTCTGGTCATGGCATTTTTCTGATCCATATTGTGTGGACTATTAACAGATGGACAAGGCATCTGTACTTGGAGATGCAGTTAAGTACCTGAAGCATCTTCAAGAACGCGTGAAGACACTCGAGGAACAATCTGCCAGGAAAACCATGGAATCGGTAGTTTTCGTGAAGAAGACTCAGGTTTGTGTTGATGATGATTCATCTTCAATTGATGAGAACACTGATGGCTGCTGTGACCACCCACTTCCGGAAATCGAAACACGAGTTTCGGATAAGGATGTTCTCATTAGGATCCTTTGCGAGAAGAAGAAAGGATGCCTGATGAAAATACTCAGCGAAATCGAAAAGTTTCACCTAAATGTCATCAATAGCAGGACCTTGTCCTTCGGAAACTGCACCCTAGATGTTACTGTAGTGGCTCAGGTACATAAAAAATTTGGAAGATAAAGTTATAATAAACGGATGATAAAGTAGCTATATTTTTCTTGGAAACATTGCTGCTTGCTTGCTTGATTAATTGGGGGAGACAGCCAACTTAATTAAACTTTAAAAAATGGATGGATGACAAAATAACTTTATTTTTCTTGGAAACATTGCTTGATGACAACTTACTTTGATGAAACAATCTACATGTGTCAATTAATAGTTTATATTTCAAATATAATCATTTTTCTTGCCATCAAATAGTACATACATTAATTATATGCAAGAAAGTACGTAATTTGATGACATGGATGTTTCGTAATGATAGCATTATATTAATTTAAATCAAACTCTTCTTAGAACTAAACATTTGATTTATTTCTTGCAGATGGACGTTAATAATTCTGTGATACTGAAAGATATTGTGAAAAATATACGACAAGCTCTGCTATAGATCAGTGATCACCATCGTATATATGCCATTTTAGTCACAGAGTTACCCTTTGGAATGATGCATAGCTAGTTTGTTTTTCCTCCTTTCTTTTTTCCCAAGATCTCCCGAGATAGAAAAAATGGCCTCGTCTCTTACTTTTAGGGCAGAGTTACCGTTTTGGGTAGAGGGTTACTTTTTTCCGGTGGTTGAACCGTTGACCACGTTTTATAACCCACATGCTATTGCGTATGGAATCTGATAGCCTGTAGTCTTTTTTGTCCCCCTTTTTTTTTAAAAAAAATTATTTCTGGAGGAGGTTTGGTATGCTTTTTCAAGGGACCTAGGATATTATCTTTGGCCTTTGTGTATTCCCCTGTATTTACTGTCTTAATTCAATAAATATATAATGTACTTTTAATTTCACTTCTTCTGTTTGGAAAGGCTATGTGATTTATATTATATTTTAGGGACTATAGATATCACAATATTTCATTTCAACTCATAGTTTAAATTTTCTTTGTTTTGATCTTATAATAAATAATATATATGTTGCCTTGTGACGTAGCGAAAACTTATAATAAAGAAAATAAATATCGTTAATCTAAAATCTAGATGTCGATATACTACAAACAATTTAATTGTACACAAATACTAGGAAATATGTTTAAAATTCCGTTGATTCAAAGAATGATAAAAATTGAGAGAAACTTGAGATACTCTCTCATAAATTTTTATTAATCAAAGAAAGCGACATTTTTCAGCTCCATAAGTAGAAAAATTCGGCCAAAACCCTAAAGTAATTCAAAAAGGAAAGAAATACCAAAAAAAAAAAACCCAAAAATATGGAACAAATCTCAAAAAATAGTAGAAGTCAATTTTGGGAGTCTAAACAACGTTTTTGTTTTTTTGTTTTTTCTTGGCCAAAATCACCCTTATATCATAAGCATGGCCTATGAGTTTTGCTTATTAGCTTGTTTGGCATCAAACTAGGTCCAAAAAGCCTCGAATTGGGCCAATAGCTTTTTTTAGCTTCTATCGTGCTCATACTATTTCATGAATTTCAAAGCTATTGGTCCGCATCATTCCCCTTAGGAAAGAGAAAATTTACCCTCAAATTATCTACATCATCATCTTCGAAGAATCATCATAAAATGAAATCAAGTGCTTGACATTGAATACATCGGCAATACGAATATGACTAGGTAGGTTGAGGTGATAAACATTAAGGTTAATTTTCTCAACTATCTCCACCGGCAACTCTTTCGAGAATACATAACAAAATTCAATAATAAGGGGGACTATTGCTTTTGATATTATCTCATTAGTTCTAGCTTCCTTTCCAATCAAAGCATAGACCACCCTCAAATCTTGCAACTCTTTAAATTGAGCTAGCGACACCGACTTGCTAATGTCATAACCCAATTTTGGGTTCCTTTAAAGGAAAAAAACAAAAAATATAAAAAACAAAAAAAAAAGGAAAAAATATTAAAAATATTAAACCTCCCTAAAATCATTCAAAAATATGTTAAAATCTTTCACAAATCCTTTTTAAATTGGAAGCTCCTTATTTTTAGCTAATCAAATCTCAAAACTAAGATTTGATAATTAAAATTTGAATTTGAATTGATTTTGGGAGAAATTTTAGGAGGTTTCGGCCTATAAAAAGCTTTCAAATTCCAATTTGCAAGGGGGAGAAAAAAAGAGGCGACCAAAAAAAAAAAAAAGCACAAAGAAAAAATACCGAAAACCTAATTGGAAATAGCCAAACACGCCCTAACCCATCAAACCGGACCCGATTACTCGTTTACCGAGTGAAAAGTTTTGAGCCTCAATTGATCGTTTTTCAATTAGATTTAACCCCGATAAAACCACCCACGGGTAGCTCATCACGAGATCGATCCATCAACATCGGTTAGAGAGAGAAACAATTACGGAGAAGAGAGAAATCGAAGAACAAAGGTCCACGACCGAACCGTAACTACACCCGGTTATTTCTCTCAACTCGGCCACCAACATGAGATCCAATGCCATAAATCCGATCGTTGGTCTCCCTCGAGTGTTTCCGAGTTAAAAATCCCGACCCAACGACACCGGAAAACGATTTAATTGGACTCAACCCGTTTCCAATCTGTTTTGATAAACCCGATAGAATTGGTTGATCTAGAAGGCGTTAAAGATTCTAACCACCACGGACATCTTTCTCTCGACCTCTCGAGTCGACCGATGGCTTAGAATCCCGAGAGGAGGTCGGATTCATCGCCGATGAAGAAGGGAGATCCGGTCGGACCTTTAGAGGTTTCGATCTCCCTCCTCCTACGTCTTCTCCAGTTGAAACCACCACCATTGGAGTCGTCATGATCGGATCTACAAGGTCGGGTGGTCTACGCGCTCGAACAGATCACTGGCGGTGACTCTTGGCATTCCAAGGGCATTTTTGTAATTTTATAATGTAAGTGAATTTTGGATTGTTTGATTTATTTTATGTGTTTTGTAGCTTTTTTTTTTATTACAAATGTATGTTAAAAAATTTAAAGATACATAGTTGTGAAATTTATTTTAACATGAGATTTTTTTATGATTAAAATATTGGATCAACGAGTCTCTTATTTATTAGGGACGGACGATGATTTTGATATATTTAATTTTTTGAAATTAGTTTTAGTTAATTTTAGTTAATTAAAATTTTAAATTTTTTTTAAATAAAAAATATTTTTTTTTATGAAATCTCCTATCCGATAGGGATCGACGTCACAAAAAAAACGTTTAAATTTTTTTCTCTTTTGATGAAGTCTCCTATCCGATAGGGACCGACGTCACCAAAATTCATTTGTTTAATCAAAATGTCCTCCGACATTGGTTGTGTTAAGGCTTAAAGTGGATCCGATGTTTGAATCGATGTGTCACCCGACGAAGGGGATCAACGATCGTTTCAATACGATGCCACGCCCAAAACTAAAAAATTCAATTTTTCTTAAAAAAATAAGAGTTTAAAAATCAAAAAATAATTTGACGTAAATAAAATATTTTAGGAGATAAACTTAGAACTAAACCGGACGTGTTACCTTTCTTCGGAAAAGGGTGTTTTTGGGTGATTGATATCTTCCCAAAAGCGTAACCAACTCCTTACCATAGAATCTTTGAACCGAGTGTCGTTTTAGGTTTCTAGTTCCTTTAATACTAGATGGCGACTCCAAACTTTGTAAATAAACTTGTAAATACCAATCTAATTTTAGATACTTTCGAGGAGTCCCGTCCGATGTCGGGTAGCGACGGAATGACGACTCCACTAGGGACTAGAGTTAGGCCATAGGTTTATTTTTTTAATTTATCTCCTATGTTTTTATTTTATTTTATTTTATTTTTTCATTTTATTTTCTGAATTCATTTTTTTGTATATATTTACATTCTTTTAATTTACTTTTTTGCATTTCATTTTCTTATGGCATGTTCATTTTTTGAATTGGGTTGTATATTTTTGTTTATTCTATTGCACACACCACGAAGGAAACCTATAAAAGCTCCGGACCCGAGCTAAACCTTGATAGGACTTAGATAGAGGGATTTGGAGGCGAGCATGACAAAAGTCTACCGATGCTCTTCTAGACTCTCGTTTGGATCGAAACTCACCCTATATATCGAAAATGGTGGAATAACATTTCCCTACCTCTAGTGTATAAGGTTAGAGGTTGGATTACCCCATCGGTAATTTAGACGAGTCTAGAAACTTGAAATATCTTTAGGACTAGTCAAGCTTTGCCCATCCATAGAAAAGCTAGATCTTGTCCGTTAGGGTTGACCCAATTAAGACACAAATCATTATCAAATGATATCATTACCGACCTTTGGTATTCCAAGGGTATTTTTGTAATTTTTAGTGAAGGTTATCCTTCATATTAAATCATGACCGAAGAAGTCGAAATAAGGTCGAGGATTTTAGATCGGATTTGAGCGGGTTCGAAATGATGAAGGAGATAGTCTGTCTTTGAATTTTGTGTCAAGACTACGAAAAAAAAGTTTCGCCCTTCGTGTTTATAATAAGAGTGGTTTCATCATTTCAAAATCAAGTCACGACTAAAATTGGAGGCATACATATCTCCCTAATCGCCCAAGTATCCGTGAGGTAATTTTGCCTTCAACGAGTACTAACTTGTTCTAACCCATCCTTGACGGGATTCCGTCATGATTTAATGTGCAACAAAATAGAGAAAGGTATCCAACCCAGTTCAAAATCATGTATTTTCATTAATTATTTATTTATATATATTCCTTTTATATTTTTTGTAAAGTAAACATAGGCCACTCCACTCAATCCCCTCCGTGCGTCTACTACACTCGACTACTCGTCAAATGGAAAATGAAGAAAGACCACGACGGGAGGCAATAAGTCAGCAAGAGTTTGACTCGCCGAAAGAGAATGTGACTCGGATGACATCTCTATTAGAACAAGCCTTAAGAGAGGAAAGTGGCTTGAATCAAGGACGGGAACAACCCAAAGTACCTTATGTTGTTCCATTGCTCAATCGATCGGGAATTCCAATCAAACAACTTTTTAGGCTGATGGCTCACATCTTGCTAGGGCATTTGCTTATCCCATGGACCTACGAGTCCCGCAAATACCACATATACCCCCGTAGATCCCGCGAAGAAGAAACTCATAGTTATAGGGTAGCTGAAGGTCCAAGTATGGACGGACTCATGGCATTATAAGAACGCCTTAGGGTAAGAGAGGGGCGGATGTTTACGATCCCGTCAAAGGTACCGAAATATGTCTAGTGCCCGATGTGGTAATCTCGAAGAATAAGGTGCCGAATTCGCTAAATATATCGAAACCCAATGTCTTATGACCCACTCGAGGGTATATTACGGTAAGATGACGAGATGCTCGTTCACGATGATGAAAAACTACTCATACATTTCTTTCATGAGAGCTTAGGCGGATTAACATTGAGTTGGTATATACGGTTAGAGGGCTCCAAGATCGGAGGATGGAAAGATCTAGCTAATGCTTTCCTCAAGCAATA